GACTGAAATGAAAGAAGTGGACACAGATGTGTGATTCAGGAGAGTAGAGTTTAAAGAATAATTCTGGTTAATCAAAGCCTGGGCGTTATTTGTGTTGTTTTGCGATCAATACTGATAACTTTGTTCTCGATCAGTTAAATGCTAAGCTCTAGGATCAAGGTAATATCACTAACAAGTGATTATGGACAAGAAAATTAGCTCATTGTCAAAATATAGCACTGTGTCACGCGGCAAATTTGACATCACATCCTGTAAGCCTGTGTCGCGCACAACAATCTCTGTAGCACTTCAGTCAGTCGTGCAGCTCTTGATTTTGTAACCTGGCACGTTGCGCCATGGCAACTGTAGTTTGGTTGAAGACACAAGTGTACAATCGTAGTGGTTTTTTACCGCCATTTGAATGCTATTCCAGTATGGAAGCTGAGAGACATACAGATGTACAGAAGAAGACGTTGGAACGGTTTGAAAACTTGACAGTTTGTGGAAAAATCTGGGAAAAAAACACTGGACAAAGTCTTAGCTTTTGGTAAAGGCAATGTTTAAAACTATTTGTTGATCAGCTGGATACATTATTTAAAAGAAATTAAAAAACAAAAGCCACTGGCATAGATAACCTGTTTGGTTTGGTTACATAGTGTCAAAGCCATTTATCTGATACTTAAGCCAGCTGAACTACATATTAATCACTTCAGTGTGCACAATGACGACATATTTGATTGAAGTGATTGACAAAACTATGGAAACAGCACCCAGTTCTCATAATTCCAAGAGAACCTTTGGAGGCTTGGACGGGCAACTTCAAGACCAAAACCTGGAGTGATGTGGCTTCATGCTGGTTAGCCAACATGGCAGAGGTAACACATACAAATCTGGAGCATAAGCACGTTAAAAGTTGCTACTCTGCATCAGTAAAACGCAAGACTCTTCCACCATTCGGGGGGGGGGTAAGAGTAAGCCTGGTGTTTTGCCTGGCTACTAAACAAAACCTCAAATGACCTACTTTCATTCCTACCCCGATTCCTCCACCCCTCGCCTCCTCCTCTTCACACACGCACAGCGCAGCTAATACACGGGGACTGAATGAGGACTGAAAGTGTGAAGTGGAACGCCCAATCACAAGACACGGAACCCCATGCTGATATCAGCTTCCTTTCCAAGTGCAAAAGGAGGCTTTCAATGAGACCATTCCTAACCCAGAGGCCATTCAAGTTTTTGAAAAATATTTAAGAAAAAAAAAAAAGTTAAAACGCATCATGTCCCATGAGGCTACGAGTTTAGAATACAAACAAGCTGCTCAGGATGAGAGTGTGCAGTGGTAAATCACTGCCCTACAGGCTATCAACAACCTCCTCCATCCCAAACACAATTCAATTACGGACAGTGCGGTAAAAATAGAGTAAGAGGAAACCTTTACAAGAGCAACAGTAATTGTGTTTGGAACCCATTCTGCAGGAAGTCATTATCATAGATTTCAAGAATATCTTCATCATCCGAGTTAAGAAAGAATTTCCTCCTCTGGCTGGGATAATATTTGTGCTGGTGTCAGAGAGAGTACAGAGAGTGGAGAAATAGCTATGGAAAGGGGCGGGGTTAGTGAGAGAAAGGGGAGTGGCTTCAAAGACCTTGCAATGGGTGTAGTACTTTACTCCCCATTACCGGCCTGATCAGCTCTGCCCAAACTTTGCAGCTCAGGTAGGAGAGGTCAAAACTGCTTTCCTCTGCTTCTGCGCACAGAAAGTTCTATGGTGGCGCTTATGTCTGCAGCAGGACAGCCTTGGACTCAAATTTCCTCACATGCTGTGAAAAGTGATCCACACGAGTCCACACCTTATTCTCCAGTTCAATATCCCCAACTGAAATACAGAAGACCGGCTTGTCATTTTGTATTAAACCAAGATGAAGAACTATCCCGCAGAGGCCCCTGCTAGCTGCTATCAGATCAGCTGATAATGACTTTCTTTTATTAAGCCAAAGATGGGGGTGGGAGGTGGGGGGGACAACCCCAGCATTGCAAAATGCATCTATTTAGTGAGCTGATAGATGTCGGCAGCCAATTTGTGTTTAAAAAAAGGGAAAATTACTGTTTATCAAATCTACTTTTGTGCGAATTTGAGCAGTGCCTCAAAGCGTGACTTTGGAAGGATGGTGATGAGAATGGGGGGTAGAGTAGCTTTGAGATTTGTGATGAAGCAAAGAAACAGATTTCTCTTTGCTCTGTTTATTTTCTGAATAAACAGTTTTTACATCGTGACTATGAATCTGAAGAGCTTTGTTTCTTTTTTTTTTGTTTTTTTTAATAAGACTCAAAGGTCTTTGAGAGAAGCTTCCTGAGAAAAATAAAGTTAAGTATCAAATGTAATGCTCCATCCAGGATTACACTGTTCTTCAAACACTTCAGTCACATAGCACTAGTGTAAACATCATCGGGTCAACACAGCGCAGATGTACTCCTTGTTATGCTGCTTCTTTAAAACATCATAACTCTCTTGAAAACAGCAAAAGGGCAAACTGTTAAAACATCAACCAGCCTCTTTACAACAAAGACACTCCTAGAAAATTACAGCCTCGTTGTTGTTAAACACTAAATACATATATTTTCATCTGCCAGACGGATTTTTAAAAAAAATATATAGATGTATATATTTGCTGTCTGGCATCTCTCCTGTTCCCATCACCATGTGGCGGTTGCTTCACGGGCCCCGAAAAGTGTGACTGATCCCCTTCACCCCCACTAACCCCCTGGGATGCCAGAGCCCAGTGGGAATAAGGTGATGACTAGTGTGGATCAGCGCAAGCTTGTTTACACATTACAGACCACACAGACAAGACAGCATATGCATGCCATGTGTGGCTCAATTACATGCAGGCGGTGACTGGTCAACTGCTAAGCAGAACCATCAGAGATGAAAGGGAAGGGTGCATCACTTGGCCTTTGTTGTAGAAGCTTTAATATGTCGTGAACTTCTTCATGTTGCGCTGTGGGTGCCTGCATTGCCGTCTTTTTGTCCCACTACAAACACCTGTAATTGAGACGGTCTTTCAGCAGAGGGCTCCAGCCTGGCTGAGGTGACAATGTAGGAGAGTCACAGATGTTGTAAATGTCTGCACTCTTTCATGATATTGCCTACTTTGTCAGCCGGTTCCATCCTGCTTTTGAGTGAGGTATGGGGACTGAAAACACAAAACATCATAAATCATAACTTGTCTGTTTTTACTGTGCTCTAAGCAACTGTTTTGAATTCAGTGGAGCCTGAATCCAAAAGTAAAACCTGGTGTCCACCCTTTTTTATGTGTTTTGACATCTGCAAGCTTTGTAAAGGTGCATTGCTGTGACTTATTGCAGTTTAGCCGTCAAATGTATCCGCGTAGTCTCACTGCTTTGGTGAGGCATGGAGAAATTAAAAATATACTTTACTGAACTTTTACCTTTACTCGATTTCTGAATTGTTTTAAAAGCATCGTCGCGTACACTGAAAACAAGAGCAAATTTAGAGAATATTTCATGCAGAATTGAGAAGATATCAAAAACTATATGTAGAAATTGAACTGCTTTCCTCATGTGTAAATAAATATAATATGAAATAATTTATTTTATTTGTGGGAGAACTCTTTAACATCCTACTTCAAGTAAAAAAAATTTAAAAATAAATACACAAAAATAAGCTTCAGTTGCAAAATCATTCCTAAATCAAAAAAGAGTGTAAAATATCTAAGAGTCTTTTCATATCCAAATTGTGCACCATATGTGTGCATGTGTGTGACCACAAAGAAAAACAAACTAGCACACTGCAACACTAACTAGCCCTGAAGGCATCTTTCAAGTGGCCGACAGTGCAGCCTCTCATCTGCCACACTAACCACACTCATAGGTCACAACGATAGCTTTGATGGCTCTAAAAGTCAGTTTCCCATTCATTGATTTTGCATTCGAAAGGCTTTAAGAGTTGATATGAGTTCATTTAAGTGAAGCTAACCTGTCTTCTTTAACGCAGGAATGCATGTGTAACAGTATCAGTAAAGATTTGAAAGTCAGTGCAACCACATTCCAGAGGTTTAAGTACAGCAAGCAAGTAAAGTGGTGAGAAACAAGTGACATTAAAGTCCAAGACAGAAAAGCAGTGGCTCAGACATTATCTGGGGAAAACATTTGATAAAAAAAAAATTAGGGATGACAGGGATCAGCTTCCCTTTCTCATCAGTACTCGAAGGCACGGACTCAAAAATAGCATTCCATTTAGCAAAAACACTTCACATTTGGTACTTTATTTTTGAAATGACAAAAGCGAGCTTGACATTAAACCATAGGCCGAAGTTTTTTTTCTACTCCAAAAACATTACACAGGTTTGAAATGTGCATCGTTTTCTTGAAAAATGAGGAAAATCTGCATTAATTCATATGTTTTTTTAAGATGTATTATCAGTTTAGATTTTTAAAAAGGTATTTGTAATGATAACTTGTCTAAACAGTTTAAGTGTGGATGTAAATAGGAAAAATAAATCCTTTGTTAGTATTGAATTTGTGCCTGAGAGTGGCTGCAATTAGCTCCACAAAATATGACAAGATATCTGTCAAAAATGATTTGATCTGATCAAAGATCAAAGCACACCCAAGCAAACTGTAATCTCCACACTGCAAGGTTAAAAAAATACAAAAACCAGCACATTACTTAACAATAATTATAATAATACTTGTATTATCATATTAGTAGACTTTCTGTTGTTATGTTATTCTGTTGTGACATGCCTGACTTTCCTTTTCAAATTAGGATCCTGCACACTGTCTGGCTTTGTTAAAATCCCTGCTAATAATAATAAAATAACATTGAAATTTGTGATCAGATCCATAAAGGGCCAGTGGTCCATGTTTTGATGCCACTGCTCAGACTGTTCCCATCTTTCCTCCGCCCCACTCAAAAAAACAAAAACAAACAAACAAACAAAAAAAATTCATAGGACACAAAGCAGAAAGAGAAAAGTTCAAGGGGACAAGAACTTCTTACCTGGTCTCTTTGGATGCATGGCAGAGAGGTCCGGCGATGTGACTTGCTGTTGGACTGACTGTGTGCCATGTCTGAGGCTATCACAGAACTGGACCTCCTGCGCCTTTTAAATACAGGGATCTCTTCCCTGGCCTCAGTCACAGGGGTGCAGCCCTCCTTGTGTCTCCCTTGGTTGGGAAGGAGCTTGTCAGCATACCTCGCCAGCAGGATGCCCAGCACTCCAACCAGGTACGCTACGTATGGTCTCCAAGTGGCCCGCACTTTGTGCAGAGAGAAGAGTGAGATAGTCCTGACTACGCTGATGAAAACGATCACCGATATGCCCTGATTCAACCGTACTACCATGAGTGCGCCGGTGGCCACGCAGAGGAGCACAACAACGGCCGCTGTCGTGAATGAAAACAGCTGCTCATCTGTCCCATCCAGAAGAGACCACGCCGCTACTTCGCCTAGGTGGCACAAGGTTAGGAGGGAGATGGCGGTCTGGATTAGAACCCCGCAGCGGATTAAGTACACACCGACCCAAAAGAAGGCACATACAAGGGTGAACAATGGCGAAACCACACTCCAGCAAGTTTGCAACAGCTCTGCTGCGCAGCCTGAAACGAAGTGAAGGGGAGACGATGAATGCGAGAGTCTGCTGTCAGCGCTGCTGCTGGCATCAGCTTTCCAGTCTGCACATTTGACCAGCAGAGCGAGAAAAAACGAAAGCGAGCCCACACACACCGCACTCCGGAGTCTTTGCGAACTCCATATTTTTGTAAACATCAGTCTCACCCACGACTCATAGTGTCGGTCTCGCCACAGTGGAATGACACATGTTTTCACATAACCATTGCGATCCGGTGCGCCGAAGCTTCTTTCGTAAGTGCTACTCTTCGCACCGTTACTGCAAGCTTCTGAAGGCATCGCCATCACTCATGGCAGATATGAAGTATGAGGAAGTCTATAATGCATCTATGATAGTGCGGTCATGGGACAGGACACAAGTGACAAAACAAGCGTAATTTATTGTAAGCACAAAGGAAAAGAGCACGGCGAATACGCACACACGTCTCTCCATTTACGCATGGAGATGTACTGCCAGGGAATGCACTCTTTTGTTTTTCCAGGTGCGGGATGAGGAACTGCTGCCCCAAAACAACATAAAAGAAGCATGGACGACAGAATTACTCAGATGTGTTACAGATCTAGGGCACCGCTTCTTTGCACACACATGTCCCGCGTTGCCCTCCTTTGTGGCGCGCCGTCTCTTTGACTTTGTCTGCTGTCATTCTCGTTCTTTTGTACATCCACGGCCCGTGCAGCAGCACCAGCAGCAGCAGTAGCAGTCTTTGCAAAACATCCGTCCCGGTCTGCGAACATTCAGCCTTAAACCATTTGTTTCGACACTTTTCGGTTTCTCCCCAAACGGTAAGAGTCTCCGGTTACTTTCGAGGATAAAAGCCGCTGAGGAATTTAAGCCGCTCGAGTGAGTGTCCGCCAGGTTGTCGCTCAGCGTTTCGCGTGTTTGTCACCTGCTCTTTAACCAGCCGTGAGTCTCAGCTCATTCACACCCCCGAGTTCCTACTTCACACAGGGAGCAAGATATTGCAGCGGCAGTGAAACCCCCAAATCCTCCTCAGCCAGCCCAGCAGGCGTTGTCCTCACATATTTTTTTTTTAAAAACATTTTTAATACATCACCTGTAACATATACATGCATATGAGTATTTGTATACGTTTTTTTAAGATAGAAAATATTAAAAAAAAATAAAAATGTGGATGACCTATATTTCCCTGGAGTTTCTCTCTGTTTGGAGTAATTACGGGGTCTTTAGGAACAAAAATTCAAAGCATGTTACATCAAAAAGAGTTTATTTTAATTTATCATTTTCTTACAGTATTTTTTTGTCAAAATTTTTATTTTATTTTTTCAGGAGAACCAAGCAAACTTCAGAGCTTCAAATTGCCTCGAGATGAATTCATTTTAAATTGAGGCTATGCGCAGATGCTGACGAGAGAAACGGGGCGCTCTGCATGCGAACTGTAGTTCGGCGAAATTCCCGGAACAGTGCTGTGGTTGTCCTCCAGCTCGACCCCCCTGCCATTGAAATATTTATCCCATCATCTCACTGTAAGTGTCAGTGATGATATACAGTATTACGTCACAGTGAAAGGTCTGCATCAATGTTTCAGCACAAGAGAGCCTGTGGGTGTATAAATGCACGGTGTTCACAGTTCATGAGGTGCATATGTGTGTTTCCTCACATGGCCTGCTATAATCTCGTGGGATTACACCCTTATCACGTGAATTGGATGCACCATATGCAAACAGAGATCCACCAAAGCAAGCACAGGTCATCTCATATTTGATGCTGTGCAAAGAAGTTGCCTCACGTTGGACTAGTATTTTTTTTTCTTTCTCAACCCTGACCCACCCCCCCTCCTCTCCCTCTCTCTCTCTTACACATTCACACACACACTTAAGCACACACTTTTAACCCTGAAGCTGTTTAACATTTAACATCTGGTCTTCTCATGAAGACAGAGCATTGTCTCTGTTAAGCCGAGGTCGTGCTTTTATAGCCCAACGTCCTTCTCCTGCTCCTTCTCCCCTGATTAAGACAGGTCAGCACAACTCCTTCCACCCAATGGCGTATTACAGAGCCCTGTGTATGCCTTGTCAGCTGTGATTAGTTAGAAGCAGGGGAGGAGAAGACGCGCTAACAGGGAGTGATAGGAGCAGGGAGGAGGCCGGGTCTTGTCCATCACCTCTCAGCACACGCTCGCAGAGAGCCAGACAGTCCTTTCAGTGCAGCGTGTCACCAGGCAGCTGCTGGCTCCACATTTTTTGGGACTTTTTTTTTCAGCTTATCAGAACCCATAGGTAAGTTTTCTCAGGGAGAGCTGAAACAATGTTGCCTTATCAGAATGGTTTATTTCATAGGTGATAGGAACAGAAACATTCCCTCTTCAAACACGGAAGATAAGAGGAAGACAAAAGAGGGCAGAGCTGAAGTCAGCCAGAATACAGGATATACACGCATTCATTAAATCGCTGTGTGTGGTAATGAAATGCAACATGATTTTATTATGTGATAGGTTGCAAAAATAGATTGTGTAAAGGGAAGCACACCAGGTTGGGATGCTTTGGACACCACCTGTGTTATCAAAATTTAAAGCTAACAGCTGCCCTCGTTTCGCACAAACCCGTCAACGGTCAGATAGATTCTTCAATGAAAAGCATCACATCCTGTTTCAGACTGTTTGTGGCAGATGAAAGTAAATCACTCCAAACCTGGAGCATATCCCGCACTACATCTAGAATCTTACAGCAAGCTCATTGTGAAACGTTCCTGCGACTGTCTCTCCAAAACGCTACTATTCTGAATTACCCAAAGGAATTTTAACAACTGGGGAATGCTCACCTAACTGTCTTACCGTATTTGGCAATGCCACGCTCCATTGTAAAAGAGGAATCTTTTATGGGGAGCAATTCATCAGACATCTGGTTTTGATGTTGCATGGGGGTGCAGTCTTCACAAGTGACCTTTCTCAGACCAACACCGGCCTGTGAGACTGCTGCAGGAAGATGTGTACTCTGGAAGTGTGAATATCCAAAGGCCAGGTTATTTACCAGTAAACCACTTGACCCAGAAGCCTCTTTGCGCTTCATGAATCCAATACGAACATGATCTGATGCCATATACTACGCTTGGGTTTCACTTCAGGCAATTTGTGTTGTAAATAGCTTTCAAGTATACACAAATTGCAGATGTCTGTTTGATTTTGTCAAAAAATGTTAAAAAGAGATGCAAAAAGCTGTTTCTTGACGTTACACATCGAATGCAGCCTAATGTAGTGTTGAACTACTAAAGAACAGAAGGAGAAGAGTGGCTGAGTGGCGTGATGGAAGCAAGTTTACATTGTGTTTGGTACTTGAGTGCAGAGAACGAGATCCATCACGGTGTGTTTACCAGCCCTCATGGGCAAAAGCTGGCTCGTGGCCAAGTTTCCACTGTGGCGCTGTGGGCACCCATCGCTACACACAAACACACACAGACACAAATGCCACCGCCATCATATACACAGTCATGCACGTGCACGCACCCCCTGACACAGTCTTTTATTTGCCCCGGTGTGTACACACAGTTGCACGAGTGCCTGTAGAGCACGGGCCTTCTAGCACGAGCAACCGAGGAATCAGCGAGCATCCTTTCTCTGCAAAGAGGAGCCTGTTCGTAACATAACTGGAATTAGTCTGTGCCGGATTTTTCTGCACAATCAGGGCAAAAACTTTATTATCAGTTTAGGTCAGTGACACCGACGGCGGCCAGAATTTTCAAGTCAATATTCCGAATTTCAATCAGATTGCACAAGATACAATTTTATAACAATGTTCTATTGCTAAATAATCTGCGATAAGTAAGAGATTAGTCAAAGGTCTGCCGACAGATTATTTATCAGGAAATGTCTGAAAATCTGAGAAGTGATTTGAAGAATGTGGACGTACAAAAACAAGACAACTCATGTGGGCTTTGGGAAACTTTAATTATTAATGTGTTTTAGAATCTGAATTCTACAATAAATGATTCCATTCAACAAAGTCACCTTTTTATTGTTTGTAAATAATACTGCTGACTCTCCACAGACTGCAACATATTGTGTCTAGAAGGATGTGTTATGAAATGTCACACCAAAACAGATGTCTATTACCAATATATTTACACACACACATGATGTAGATTTGGTAGATTGACTTTCAAGTACACTGAATTTATAGCAAGACAAGTTGTTTTTTTATAGTTTTAGTATTTCTCCGGCCCTGCGACAGACTATAGTGCCAAATCACAACAAAAGTCGCCTCAAGGCGCTTCATAGATACAGAGAAAAACCCAACAATCATATGACCCCCTATGAGCAAGCACTTTGGCGACAGTGGGAAGGAAAAACT